CTTTTGAATTCCCCGATAAACCACTGTAACGCATGTTGTTCTGGTCTTGAATTAACCTCTGCGCACATGAGTAATATTATTTTTTATTTTTTGCTCTAAGATCAAAATAGTGTCATTTATGAGTGTGTAGAAACCGAAATAGATGAACCCGTAGACAAATTGCTGATCTAACTTCTATTCGTCTGACTGTATTCATGATCGATCACCATCAATTTCGAGTTGGTCAGGTTACTTTCAAGCCCCAAATTTTGACTTGTGCACCTTCCCAATTAATTTTCTCTGGGCGTATGTAGCAGTAGAAGCTGCTAAAATATTTAAGGCAATTAAAAACCACTAATAAAATAATTAGGTTAAGAAAATGAAGTGTTACTTTTAAAGCAGTTTTGGATAGTTCTTTCTGCATTCAGACCTGAATTTTTCAATATTTCTTAGGAATTTAAATAATCCAGCCGCCAATTCTGAGTTTGGTGTGTCTCATTTTTCAGTTTATATATAATCTCTTAGATAATACTCATTTATTGACACTAAAAGTTATTTTTTAAATTTCAAATGAAAAATGAGCAAATAGAGTGAAGAAAAAAGAAATGTGAATCTAATGAAGTGGTGTTGCAACTCACACGGTGTATGCACCCACGGTGGTTTCTGGGACATGTTATTTCACGATTTGACGATATTTCGACCCCCCCTTCCCACCTTAGATGTCTCAGGGCATCAATTGAAGTTACTGCACTGTCTCCGACCAGGATTAGAATAGAATAGAATATATATTTTACTACTTAGGAATAAATGGAATATTTCCGGTCGTAGCGTTTTCTAAGTAGTTACTACAAACGTTTAACACAGACAATCAAAGGAACATTACAATATTTACATATTACTTGACATAATTTTACAAGTTTAGTATATTAAACCTATTATGCTAAAGATGACACAAAATAACAATTATAATTCAAAAAATATCTTAACATATTCTAAAAACAATTACAATTTATTTAATCTAATTTTAAAATGTTTGACATTCTGTGGGAAAGTCTCCAGCAGTGATGCAGGCAATAAGTTCCAAGTTAGTAATGTTCTGATTACAAATCAGAATTTACCTACATGTGTTCTCAGTTTTCTTGGCCGAATTTTAGAACCACGATCCTTCCGCGAGACGTACGTGGGTTTTGATAATCTTGCCCGCACTCCCCCCTACGGAAGATCACCTCGTATTGATTTGAATAACGCACAATGATGCGATTTCTCTCTGAGTTTTTTCGAATGTTACCAAGATATAAATTCAGAATTTTAACGTCCTCTCCTAACAAATTTTTGTACTTTTTCGAGAGATTTTATTTTCCCTAAACGATATGGGTCCCAACATATGAAACCATATTCCAATATCGGCCGTACTAGAGATGTGTCCCCTAATTCCCTTGATTTTCTACTTCCTTTCCTAAGCACTCTAATCACAAATTGTAATGTCTTCCACGCCTCTTTCACTACATAATTTACGTGTTCTGCTCACCCCCGTATTCGCATTTAGATTAATTCCCACATATTTACATCATTTAGCCATCGGAATATACTGATTTTCCAATTTATATCAATTTATATTTCCAATATATAGCGATTTCATCTGTCTTTCAAGAATGCGTGAATCTGATAAACTTTCCCTTACTGGGATCATTTTATTTGTGGTAGCCCATGATTCTAGTCTATCTAAATCAGCCTGTAATATTTCTCTATCACATGCGTCTTTAATTTCCTGATACATTATACAGACATCTGCCAAAAGTTGTATTTTGGATTCAATTACCTGCCAAATATCATTAATATATGTTATAAATAAAAATGGAGGCAACTGGCAAGTGACCGGAAACTATGAATTTTAAACATTTTGTAAACATTTCTCAATAGTGTCTAATTCTCTTTAACTTGGGAAGTACGACAAATAAAAGAAAGTGCATCGCTCCCGAAACGCCAGCAGCAGAGCACTCTGGCCGAGAGAGGAAGAACGACACCCAAAGGCGACCGCTCCGTTCTGCTCCGGTTCCTCTGAGGAGAGCTCAACGCAGATCTCCTCCACCAGCGACGCTTTCTTCAGGAAGGCCAGTAGCCGTGATCGTCTAGTGGTTAGGACATTGCGTTGTGGCCGCAATAACCCAGGTTCGAATCCTGGTCACGGCACGAGCCTCCATTTTGCTTAATAAAATTTTCCCATTTTACCTCACTTCAAATTTATTGGGTAATACAAAATAACGAACCAAAATTAAATATTAAGCAAATGTAAATTTATTAACAGATATTGGTATGCGTTGAAACGGCCTTTCGTGGTGTTTTTTCATAAACGGCAGTAGAGGCCAATCATTCCTCTTTAATTAATACAGTTTTGTCAAAAATGAGAAAAGAGAAGAATATTGTAATCGCACTCACATCGACAGAAGGTTGCGACTCTGGTGCCTGGTGAAAAACCTTCACACCCAAAGTATAGTATTAGTATAGCAATAGATGCCGGTCGAATGGAAGTGCCGAAGTGCCGCATTTCTAGAAACAGTCAAAGAAAGAAAACGTTTCACGTCCGTGTGTCCCATCACAAGGACTATGATCCACAATGTTTCTATCGAAACTACAGACGTATCTTCACCTTACTTCAGAAACGACAGTAGACATTTCGGAGGGATTGCAGTTTCATTTTATGTAAATTTTAGACAAATGTTACTCGAGGGACGCACGCATGTAAGTATAAGTAAGTGCTTGCACGTGTGTGTGTAAGTAAGGGGTAAGGACAAGGAAGGGGAGGAAAATGACGCGCGGTTTGTGGCTGGTAAGGTACTGCTCCGGGGTACCTAATGAAGTAGTCAAAAAAGCACATCGCTTAAACAACGGAGTTTAAATTAGATCAACGAGCAATTTTCCAATCAGAGCTTAAGTAATTGCAACATATGACTCAATGTAAGTAGTATTTTTCGTTTGTTGCTTATATGTGTTATCCCAGGTTTCGGAAAACTGAAGAAGGTTTTTTTATTTTAAAACGTATTTACTTCTCCGCAAATTCTTTCCATTGCATTATAGGCCAGAAGAAATTCACGATGAAGACTGGAGACGGGATCACGACATGTATTGAACTGGCAATTTTTATGATTTTTGCACTGTTTTTTATAAACCTGAATACATATCCTGATGTAATGGTTGAAAATTTACTGATGACTGAAATTGCACTGATTCATGTTTATAATATATGTTCATCCCAGTGTGATACAGTTTTTCGTTGCGTAGCAGAGTTAAAAAGATGTTTAGAGACAAAATAGGGAGACCAATACATTTGTTTATTGCCCTTGGACCAAAACAGTTAACTTCATCTAACTATAAACAATTCCTAAAATGCGTCTTTAGAGGTGAGCGTCCAAAAAATAAAATTTTTATCCAACAATTATACGCCAGTTGCAATAGTACGTTTGATAAAGAGTTAATGCTGATTAGTTAGTAATTGTCCCCTCATCCCTCATTATCATCCTGTAACCTCATTATTCACAATTCAAGCCGTAACAATCTTGTCTTATCAAGGGATACAGCCGTAAAAAGCTGATTCAAAGCTGACGCACGCATGTAAGTATAAGTGCTTACACGCGTAAGTATGTGTAAGTAAGGGGTAAGGACAAGGAAGGGGAGGAAAGATGGCGTGCCGTTGGTGGCGGGTTAAGGCACTGCTCCGGCATTCGTCGGATATTGATTGGGGAAACCACGGAAAACTACCGAATAGAGTAGCCGGCAGCTGCACCTCACCTCCACACAGCGGTGAATTCAACTTTGCTATCTAAAGTGTGACGAAATTCCTGCCACTACCGGGATACGAATTTAGGTCGGTGGCAGTTCAGTGACATCAATTGATGCCCTTAGACACCTCTCCCAGTGAACCCATTTGGGTGTTACTGTATTCCAACGTAATAATTTAATCTGTTATTCTTTCAGCTTGCGCCAAATGAGAAAAAGTTTTCATACCAAGAATTCGAATAATATCCAAAACTACTTGTTGCAGTTCAAGGGACTTCAGTTGTTATTTAATTTGTGTTTCCAATGACAATCAATAAATTACAAGAACATACGTTTTTGAAACATAGATTTAAGTAAAGCTATTTTAATCATGATTAACTATGTGTAGCGTGCTCTTGATTGAGTGATACCACAGAAGTTTTGATTTTTGCATCTAAATATAAAATGCTGATAATTTCCCGTGGTTGCCATCAATTTAATTTGTTTGTTCTTGACAACTTCCAAGAAATCGTGATTCCGTATGGAATTACACGTACACATGTAGCAAGTAAGATGAGAAATGTTGTATGTCGAATCCACAATTGGATTGTAAAACGAAGTTAGCGTAATAATATTTCCATATTGAAAGAAGTTGTGAGCATAGCAGGACAGCGAAGTAATTTTGATAAAAATAATTGTATTGTTAATATCAGTATCAAGTAGTAACTCATAAATGGTCGCCCATCTTACAGACGTTTAATAAATGAAGATATCAAATAATAAAATATCAGTCAAGTTAGTAAGAACGTTACAAATAGCTGCCCAGGTGGACCAATAAAATCAAATATAAAATATTTGAATAAGACTAAGTTACGTTACACTACTCCGTAGGGAGAAAGTAAGAATTTGTACTCGTTTTAGATAAAATTAACTTGTGGTTATAATGAGTCGAAAGTTTGAGTCTTTCAAGTATTGCCGAAGAAACAATCTACTTTTTCCAATACAAACGAGGAAGACAATGGGTCGATTTTGGTGGATTCTTTTTGGGAGCCAGTTCTTCCGTGCGCAATTTCTATAGAACACTAGGTGTCGGGAAGACCAAAAGATTGAGGAAAATGAAAGTTTAGAGGTGGTAAATGCGTTTGGAACGACCCCTTGTCACAAATACATCAGAAAACATCTACGAGTATGTCATACGTGATATTCGAACTCTGAGCCCTCGTGTCCGCGCACTAGAGCACCAACCCAAAGCTTAATAAGGGCAGGCATGAAAATGCAAAACAAATAAAAAGGTTTTAAAAGGGTGTATTTTTCTGCAAATATGTTTACACTAGTAACAACTAACATGTTTCAATTTAGCAGCTTCTCTGCAGTACATATTTTTTACAAAAATGTTAAGTACTTAAAATGAGGTCAAAATTCTTGAAACCTTCACTTCGATCATAGAACAATGTAAGAATACTTTTAAAAAATGTTTAATTGGAATAGATTGGTAAATGTTTGATTTACATTGAATGAGAAGGAAGGAAGGAAGGACATTGTACTACACGTGTTCGTAAAAATATCAAGTTAGTTTTGAATTAATAGTTTAAAAATACATTGTTTTAACAAAAAAGATCAACATTCAGCAAAAGTAAATATGTTTCTACAATGAAGGTATAGCTGTGTTCTAATAATATCCTGGCTAAAACGTAATTGGTACAAAGTAATTCGAATATTATACATACACTTAACTACAAAATTATTGCATTTTAACCGATGTTTAAGTTGTTGTCAACAATAATATAAATATTACATATTCGACTTGGTACTCGTAAAGAGTATGAAGAATTTTAAAATTTGAGAATGTCATTTCATTTTTTGTGCAAAATATTAACCAAATTATTAAAGCAGCCGTGACATTGTGTTTAAACTTACAAAATAGAATCAGTGAACAATAAACGTGAAACTAGTGTTGATATTTAAACACCAGCATGGAGTTGATATTATATCTTATTTACTTCAGTTCTATTTTCCTTTCGAGCAGAAAAAAAAAGCAATTTGTGTACACGTATTTTAATGATAATTAAAAAGATTCCATGTACTGATGAATCACAATAAGGACTTCCTGATATTAAGGCATTATAAATGAATACCGTATCACAAAGCAATAATATCATTTACATTTCCCACAGCCAATTCTGATGGAATGAATGTTCTTGTTACATTAATTATGTAACCACAGTGATGAAGAAATTGGTTGAGATTATAAAAACCGTCAACCGCAAGTTCTACTTGGCAAACATCTTCTTGACAGGGTTGACAACCTCCTTTTTTTGCTTGCCTAACTGGAACGCCGTGTTTTGCGGCCTCCAATGACTTTGCCCTTGACCGTGACCGGCATGCCGATTATGTCTGCGTGAATTTCATGGCTGCGGGAATGCCGGCACAGCCATGTGCATGCATGGGCTCTGATTACTATAGGTGATTCCTAAATTTGTTGTAGTACAGAACAGTAGATGCTCACAACGAACAGAGAACTTCGTCCTCTGTGTTTTGGAAATACGAGTAAATATCAAATCGTTGATGGTGAGGTCGCGATACATATCTTACAGAATATCATATTTGTGAATACTCAACATCGCATTCAGCCAGCGAAGGTCGTGTTGGCCATAATGTTAAAATTTATGAGATTGATACCAACATTAAATTACCATAATTAACATTAACGGCTGCGTGAATACTATCCAGATCGCTTTCATGTGCTCACCGGCTTAGGTGGCTCAGGATATGATGTCACTCTAGTTCCAAGACTTAGGGTTCACCATCACCGGAGGATCCTGGGGTTCTGATCCTGACGGTGGCAGGATTTTCGTCATTAGCTAGATCGAATTCAGCCACTCTCTGGATGTGAAATCTAGCTATCAGGTGCTCTGATCAGTAGTTTCGTTAATGTCTCCGATCAGCAGGGCATTCGGCGAATGCCGAAGCAGTACCCCACCAAACGGGCTACAGACCACGCACAATTGTTCCAGCCTCTTCTCCTTTCTCCCTACACATTTACGCTAACGTGCATTACACTAACACACATGCCGGGAGACCGGTCGAGCACTGAGCTTGTCCTGCATAGGGCGGTGCCCCGCTAATGGGATATACCTTGGGGAAATCCCCGGTGACCGACGTGTGGGTGACCATCTTGCGGAAGATCTCCGCTATCTCCCGTGACAAAACATGTACTACACTTACGATCCTAATGACCGGAAATCCTAATCAATCAATCAATTTTGTGAGCGCTGATTTCGTCAGAGCCGCAGTTACAGTATGTTGTAACCTGTGACGCCCTCATGGCTTGCCACCCTAAAATATACTTGTCTTCGTTGACAAACTTTGCATTTCACACACAGAAGGAATTCGTAACACTCTGATGGGAACCAAGTTCCTAAATGACTTGGTCCATCAGTTCACCCTCTTCCACCTGTTCCTAAATTACTTAACACGTACATGAAGAGATGTTTTCAACGTGTGTGTCGCCTTGTAACAAGTGGTCTCTGAATGAACCAAGTGGTAAAATTATATCAAGTGATCCGTTACGAACGGCGCCACTGTAGAAAAACGTTTTTGTCAAGGTGGTCTATTCCAATTGCCTTTCCACCGTGGGTAGAGCTACCCTAAAATCCACAGCGCCACCAGCGAGTGACGTCGCCCTTGGCCGTCACGGCTATCACGCCCGCACGAGTTTCACGGCCTCGGGGAGGGCGTCGGCTTCACCATCGGCGGGGTCAGCCTCGGCGTCGGCGTCGGCGTCGGTGGCGGCTGCTTCGGCGTCCGCCAGCGTGGTGTGCGCGGGCGCGGGCGAGTCTGGCGCGGCGGCGGCGGCGTGAGCGGCCTGGCGGCGCAGATCCGGCCGGATGAGCGCGGTGATGACGGTGCCCGCAGCCATGAAGGCGGTGAGCGCCACGTTCGCCCACACGTCGCCGGCCTCGTTCAGCAGCCAGCCGTAGAGCATGGTGATGAACACGCTCATCACCTGCGACGACAGCAGCAGCATGCCCGCCATGGTGCTCTCGCATTCCGGGTACGTCAGCTCCACGCCGTACTCGAACGACACAGTCATGTAGCCGCCCATGAACGTGCTGCCAACAGCGGGGGGGGGCGGTGGTTAGTGGCGGAAACAAGGAGATGAGTCCCTCAAAACCAACAATTAAAAAAATTATACTCAATTTATGTAAAATAATAACCGTGCAATTGAACTCTAAAACTACTCCCATTATGAAAATTGTACTCGTATAACTTTGATTCCAAGTGAACTATTGAGGAAAAAAATATTTTAAAAATATATGGTGAGGGTTCGAACTGAAATTTACAACCTCTCTCCCCACCGAAATATTTAGAGATCCGCCCCTGGCAATGATTTTAGCAACAAATTAATTAACGTGAGTACGACACATGAGCAGATAAGGGTGAAGAATAGTGTACAAGAAGCTTTACTGCAAGTTTCATCGTAAAATTATTGTAAAAACTATCAAATGATTATTTTAACAGTTCATTTTCAAATGTTGATATTAATCTGTCTAAATTAAATCAAGACTCCACGCCACCGAAGTTGTATGTCTATTAATGACTTTATAAATGTCAAGGGCATTTGATTCCAACTTTTGGAAAAATAGAAGCTGATGTAAATATGAGAATAGAAGTTGTTGTATAAATGGAAAAAAAAGGCTCGAACGAAAAATATACTTGTATGAACTCGTGGATCAAACCAGCATTTCAATGACGTCCTACAATGAAATAACAAAATTTCTTGTCGAAAATCATATTGTAAATTTAAATTCTATAATAAACAACACCCTTAAAGCAAATATATCGATTGAATATTTTGAACTAATATTTTGTTATTGAATATATATACTTTTTTCTATAATATACTATATACTTTTTCCGAGTTTCTGATATATTTTTGCTTGTATGTATTCTTGATCAACCGTGATCGTATTAATCTGAAGTTGTTTGCTACCATATGCAAATGCTTTTCATCACTGTAACCAAATGACACATTTATCACGATGTATATTTTATCGCAAATTTCTTAAATATTACCACGAAATACAAGACAACAGTGTTGAATTACACCAGAATGCAAAAACAGACAAGTGAACCTAGATAAATAGATACAACACTCCTTTTTCTAGTGATACCAAACCAAAAGTTAAAAATAGATTTTGGGAGAGTTCACTCAAGGGCCCAAATAAGGAATTTAGTTATTATTTCATGAACACTTGCGCACAATGTTAAACATGCCTAAATTGTATTAATATAGCTAATGACAATCAAAAATGACTCTTCTTATGATTTAAATACAAACACTCTCACTCCTTACTACACTTAATCACTGCATGAAAGTGTGTACAAAATTTGCAACGTTCATAAAAAGAGCTCAACACTCATGCTTTATTTTCAAAAGATATTCTTGATTATCGTTAGTTCATAGAAATTTTACAGATTGAGATAAACCTAAATGCATTGTATTTTTTCACATTCAATAAATCAGAGGTTCTTATAAGTGTTTAGAGAGAGAGCGATTTTATGAAGTGTTCAAATGGAAGGCCAATCTTAACTAAGCATTTCACTTCCTTGACCCCAGAGTTTGCCAGAGAGTGAAAAAGATTCCAGACACCGGAGCACTTAACGAATTTCTGGACTCACCCAAATGCACCGCCGACGAGATATACCAGCAGCTCCGACTTGAGGGCCATTATGAACGTCAGCACTAGCAAGAGGGCCGTCGACAGGACATAAATAGCGACGATAGACTCTCTGAAATCAAGCAGAAACAAATCCATGGTAAATATTTTAGAAGGAGAGATTGATTTATGAGAAGAAAAAAACATTTTTAAAAGACAGTTATTCAGTCTTTTGATCGGAAGAATACGCTGAAGTACCTTCGAAATTTCACTCATTAATATTTTCCTTATATTAATATTTACTAATTCTGTCACTCAATATGATTGTGTACTAATATGTATTAATTACTGTAAATTATACCTTTCATTAAAGGTGTAACTTAATTTAATTTAAATTTTATTTAACCCTTATTGCGAGAGCATTAACTCTCCAGAATACGAAATTTGAACTTTAATCACTTACATTAGGATGTTTTCGTTTGTAGTCAATATCGTAGGTCAATACATACAAGATTCGAACATCCAAAAATTGTTTCTTTAAGAAATAATGAGGAACTTTCCGCGTTCTCCACGTCAGTTAACCTTGCATCCCTTCTTTCACATCACTAAAACATACTTGCGCTGTAATTTTAGAGTAATTTCAAACTTTAAATTAGTAGAGCTACAATATCACAAATTGTCTCACATTGTTGTAACAAATAAGTTATGTTATAATATTGCAATTTCAAACTCACTAATGAATAAGCACTCGTTTCAACAAAATCGTAAAGAAACGCCATACATATCTCTATTTTATTAAAATTCACATTTGATTTGAAAAAATGTTTAGCTATTTAATTCAGTGTAATGCGTTCTATTTTAATGAAACTTTTAAAGGAAACCCTTTTGAAGGAAGAAAGTCCTTTTTCAGTAGTGTTTTCGGATCCGGCCCCTAAGGTGTAAGTCGGGAGCGTTTCCGTCAAGAAACCGTTGGGCCACTATCGGAGGTCGCGCGCGAGCCATGTCCGTGCGTTGTAATTAAAAGCCCCGTGCGTTGTAATTAAAATCCCCGTGCCAGCAACATAATTCGTAACTGGCTTATTGCAACAAAAACTCAATGTCCAAACAACCACGGAAACTTTCCAGACGGCAAGACTTCAACTCAAAAGATCTTATGCAACGATGCACAATATGCAGCAGGCACAAATCTATTGAGAAAATATGGGGACCACCGCCACAATTGAAACTGGGTTATAAAGGACACAACACAACACAACATCCTAACCACTTCACGATCACGGCTACTCTCCACACCGAAGTTCTTATACGGGGATGCGTAGTGTACGGACGGTAAAATTTGACTGATGAATCAAGAAGACCGTTGCCGTGACCAGGATTCGAACCTGGGTTATTGCGGCCACAACGCAATGTCCTAACCACTAGACGATCACGGCTACCGGTCTGCTCTAGAGCGAAGAACATCGCGGAGGAAATGTTTGGGGTATTCCTCGGATGAATCAGAGCAGAACAGAGCGTCTATACGCGACCACTGCTGGTTGTTGATCTTCCTGTCACAACTAGAGTGCGCTGCAGCTTGTGATTCGCGTGTTATTCTCTCCTATTTCTAATTTTTGACAGTAGTGTTCATGCTAGATTACAGAATAAAATATTTTTACTCTCCCATATAGCTTCTTATATACGAGTAAATATAAGAAATGGTGTAAGGAAAGTTTTGTAATGCTACGGAAAATCGATTTCGAGATTTCAACGGAAATACTCGTTTTGGGGTCCTCGTGATACCGAAAAAGTTTTGTTTTTTAAAACGTCCGTCTGTTTGTCAATCCGTTTGTCTGCCCATCCCTCTAAGAGCACCATTATCGCCTAAACCGTGCTTTTTTTTTCAAATTGAAGATCCATTGCCCAGTGGGCTCGAGGTGAAGCTTTGAGGTTCTGAAAAAAATTAATTTCTTTTAATTTGAGTGCACTTTGCATGAAGCCTCTGGGTCATTTTCAAAATTTTTTGAAAAAACGGCTCCAATTTTTTTCTTTAAATTTCTTATAAGAATATAGTATAATACGTTTATAATGCTGGTGAAGGTCCCATTCCGACGGTTAACTTTGAATTTTCGAAAATTGCAAAATTTTGAATATTTTTCGGCCTCTTCTCACAACTAGAAAATTGGAGATCAAGATTTTCCTTCAAATGAAATTTGTTCTCCATAATTAGTTATTCCTTCTCCCGTAGACTCTGCTTTAAAGTATTACTTACGGCTCGGGTGAGGAGGTTTGAGCATCCTGTTGATGTTAAGAGCTTTGCCGGTGGTAGAGGGGTTAGCACTATATCGGTAGGGTCTCCCATGGCGGAAAGGTCTTGACGGCGGGGTCAGATGGAAGGTTGCCATACAATGTCCTATCATTCCCAGCATCTGTCCAATACTTTCTCCCAACCCCCTTAGATACACACTGGTGTCATCTGTGCTGCCTAGTGCACTTGTGAGAAAAATGCTTCAATTGACGTCTAATGAAGTTTTTCGAAAACTCAAAAATGTTCTATGAACAAGAGCTTCATATTTTGAATTTACAGTAGAGCTTAGACGCCATTTTCTTAAAATTTGCTCAAACTTTTTCAAAGAAAATTGCCATATACGACGAGGTTTCACTGTTCTTTAATGTTCTTAAAATAATATATCCGTTCTACTTTCAGGAAACCGAAAAATTACGAATTTATTTTTAATGCATAAACATTAACCGCCAAAAGAAGGCAGCTTGCAAGAGGATGTGGCAAGTCTGAATAGTTAGCTGAGACCTACGGAAATAGAAAACAAATACGGGAAAGTCTGTGCCCATCTGTAGCAGCACTAGTTTCTTTTTACTACTGAGTATTGTCTGTTTGTTATTGGTTTTAATCTTAGCAAGTGCCACTTCTGAGATGCGTCTGGACTGTGTAGCATTTGTTCATCTCTGTGCGCACCTATAGAACTGAATTTACTTTCTCATATACATGCAAATATCTGTACTATTTCGCATTCACTTTCTCAGTTTCTATGGTGTGTAGAGTTTAATAAATGAAATTTTCAACTTTCTTCAAAGAAAACTTGATGTTTCGTGGAATGAGACACGAATATAGAAGTACGTTATAGAGTTAAATTACTTATAATGACCGCATAGCATTCGATATTCACTGTAGACTTTGAATTTTTGAAAATTACAGAAGTTTGGAATTTTTTAGACCACCGTGTACTACATTTCTGAAAATAGATATTTTTTCTTTCAATAAATGTTTTCCTCCACAATTTGTCATAGATCAATCACCCAATTAAATTATTATTATTACTATTATTATTATTATTATCATTATTATTATTATTATTATCATTATCATTATCATTATCATTATCATTATTATTATTATTATTATTATTATTATTATTATTATTATTAAGGGTGTTTCCTGCAAAGGCTGACTGCCAATAATACATTTACGCATAATTATATCAAGGAATACATTTATTGAATTGGTCATTTATATGATGATGTGATAATTGTCTTATCGAATTGTTAAGTACATCTGAGCAATCGAAGCAGATGAAGATTCTTTTCCCTCCATTTTCCCTAGAATTTAGTGTCCCCTCGGAGGAATAATGCAATAACGTAAGTACAGGGAAAACCACAGGGTTGCGTTGCTTCCTTTCACCAGTGCAATTACTCAATACTCAATAGAGAGAGAAAGGTGACCACGAACCTTCAGTTGTCCCTTCTTCGATAAACAATTCCGTATTATTGGAAATAGTGGTACCCTTTGTTAGGGTCACAGTTTTAGAAGTTATAGACGTCATTGCAGCTTTTTGAAAGGGTTTTTCTTTAGTTTTTAGGATTCAAAAAATTGTTGCATTAATATAATTAATGTTTTGTAGCAAATACGTTTCACAACATGTGTTCTTACTTCAATACACATATCAAAACCTAGTTTCTTTGTTTGCATAGACACTAATGAAATTTTCTACTTTCTTCTAAGACAACGTGTTGCCTTGTTGGTTGAGTCGTACATAATCAAACAAAAAGTCATTATCTTCATTTCGTCAATTACTTGATTTGCCTCCTGTAATGCAAAAATTATTCAAATAGAAGAGTAATAATACCATTAGTTATCGCTATCACTAACAAGTTGAAAATTGTTAATATTCCTATAATAACTATTAGAGTTTGAACCTAGTTATCAATTTCTGAGTTCGTAGTACTATTGAAGGTTACTCATTCTCTCACGTTCAATATTTCAGCACCATTCTCTGCTGGTCCTGTTTACCGTCACCAACCCGCAAGTCTCAAGGGAAAAAAACCTTTTCTAGTATAATCTTCAATTGTCTCTGAATACTTCGTTTATAAACTTATCTGGAAATGGTCAAACATCTGCACTACAACAAAGCGTTATCTTAATAATAATCATAATGCAAAGATTTGCAACTATTTAATGAGAGAAAAACAAAATGGGAGTGGATAACATATTTATGCAGGTCGGTAACCGCACCGTATTTTAACTATTATACAGTTTTAAACGATTAATGTTTTTAATATTTAACTGGCCAAAGTATTTTAGCATAAACAGAATTTGTTAAAAACGGTGTTGTCGATTCAGACATACCTACAAGAGCTAAAATTGTTTTCTTTAAGATAAGTCTTTTAATGAAGAGGTTACAAATATATAACAGCATCAATTACTTAGTATGATGACTTATTAAGTTTCTACTTGAATGTTAATTATACGAGTACGTCATCGGCGCCGATATAGCTAACTGACCGAGCTCGTGTTCTCTTGTCTACGTATTTGTCTACGTATCTTGTCTACGTACGTATTCAGAACAAGCCATCAGATATAAAAAAAATAATTTTATTTTCAATGTCAAATCAATCAGCTAGTGAATGATCAGTTAGTAAATTTTCTCGACGTACCTGAAACGATGTGTCTTGTCCAGAAACACCCCGCATATGACAGATCCGATCATGCCTGTCGTCACGAACACCAGTCCCACGCGGCCAGCCAACTCTTGACCTTCCTGCAAGGAAGAAACAGAATGTACCCGTTTTCAAATACGGTAACTGACTTGGAAGCTCTTCATTACCCTACACTTAACATACGATGTGCCTAGAGCCCTGGGAGGTGATATAGTTCACTTATCAAGAATTGATGCCTTTTTGCCACTTCTGACACAGTACCACCTTTATGTATTTTAAAAGTGAAGTGTTGATTGACAAGTAACTGAAAACAGATTGCCAACTTAACAGAACTAGTGTATTTTTATAAGAATCTACAACGTATACCCACGATTGAAAAGGCGTCGTTTTTAAAAATAATTCTTTAATTACATAAATTACTTGTAAAACGCAATTCATTGAGCCTGTTGAATTTCACGACGGAGATCCGGCCTTCGATTTATGTGATTAACAAAACATCCTTAGGTCTGTCGAACGCATAATTTGCCATGTATTTCCGAAGTAACTCGGAGACTGCTAGCATACGGGATTTACACAAAACATCGCGTGTACAGAAAACTAGGTATCAAGGGAATGCATGTTTTTTTCCCCACACCACTTCAAACATGCCATTTCATTTTTCACAATTTCTACTTACTTCATTCAATTCATCGTCAATGCTGTGTTGAACCTCAATCGCCGTACGGTAGGAAAAATGACTTATGAAGACTTACAACTTTGATGTTGGCAACAGATTTCAACAAATAAGAATGCATATCGCAAAGATTTAAGGTAAGTGAACTTACGCACTGGGAAGTCATTTTTATTTGTAAACACGGTGACAGCAAAAGGGTGCCAGGATAGAGAAGATACATAAAAGATTTTGAGAAATCGTCATGACTGGGAATCCATTTCATAAGAAACACTGAATTTAATTTTAAAACGTGAAAAATAATTTTTATCGTTGAAAAATACAAACACTTGGCAAGTTTGCAAAAAATATAGACATAATCAATATTTCACCGCACATAAAACACCAATTCTCAAAATATTATTTGAGTTTATTCTAAAAACCAAGCAAGACAAACACAATGATGGCACGATAGTTTAACTTATACAGCTGTAACGTAGATTTTAAACGAGATATATTTTCTTCTGTCATCGTCATTTTTGCCGAATTCCTCATTTCTATAAAATCTAATATGACTTTCAAATACATTATTAGACCAGCAAAAATGAAATACGAAATCGAAAGTCTTACAGAGGTCTAGAACTGTTTAGTAAAAAATAATTTAAAAATATTGGGGATGAGTTAAATTGTTTGCCTAAACTAAGAAATATTCCAACAAAACACAACATTTAAACAACATAAATTACATCACACAACATAATTTAAAATAGAAATCTACTTAATTTAAAATAAATAACGAAGAAACATCTTTATTTTAAATAATTAGTTCACATGAGAGGCTCGAAATTCATATGTAATTTTTTAGAATGTATATTTTTTGATGAATTTTTGTGCGTCATTGACAGTTCTATTTTTATAGTTCTAAAAAATTCAGAGCAAAAAATAGATGAATCTTTTTCTTTAAATCTTTATGTAAAGTCCGTCTAGAAAGTGAACATTCATGAAGCGAGTTAAATTTCAAATGGCACAAAAAAAAATATTTTCCAAAAATTAATCGTATCGTTTAGAAAAGCTATGCATATCCGGTTCGTTAGATTGACAGAGAGTGAATCCGGTTAGCGGATGAATAAATGTAATTTTGAAAATAATTCTCAGAAATGGACTCCCAAAACTAAACTCATATCTATAATATTTTCAGTACCAGGATAGGCAAAACTTTGATCGTTAGATATATAATTAATTTACAAACCAAAAAAGCCGGATGTTGGTAATTCTGAAGTGATTAGACGGTAACGATCCTAGTATTTTTGGCGAGGTATATCGTCAAATTTCTTTAAAGTTCTCAATATCCTTAAAAAATTTAGTAACACGATTTCTCCGAAAAAGTCATTTCGCGACCCTTTGAGTTTCTAAGAGAAGAGAAAACATGTCAGAAAATGTGATGCAAGACGGGTTTAACATGGCAACACCTTTGAATATCCGGCATTTTCAGGATTTGTTCTACCCTCACGAAAACAATGGAAACGGATATCATAGATGAGATCACAGGATTGTCATATTGCATAAGACAAACATTAGATAGCGTTAACAAAAGTTCGTCAAATAACAAATTACTTATTTCTTTGATATGCAAAACCAATATAAAGTTTTATTGCTATGTCTACTTGCAGAAGTTATCCAGAAAGCACCAAGAAATAATTCTTAAGCTATTTTGATGAAGTGCTATTCGACGCGTCTCTGTCACTTCATGGGTTTCATCTTCTTTTTATTTATTTCAATTTTCATATCCATCCAAAAGATTATAAAAAAATTTGAAAAAAGTTTTTTGGGGTGACTGACGACACCTACAGAGGTAATCTTTTAATCGATTTCTCTCAAAAAGGCAAAAATATTGGAAAAAAACTTACTCTTTCCCAAAAGAATATTCTGGAAGATTTCTAGAAAACACGCGTTTTCGATAGTTTGAATGCATCTACGGGTACACTGGTGAAACGTTGACAATACTCTCTTCGCAGCTTTATCATGAACTGTTACTTGATTCATTAGAATAACGCCTGTAATGTAACGTACGTATATTGAAACACATTTTTCATGTATCTAACTTTCTATGTCTGAAAATTGACAGTAATATGTTTAAAATTGATTTTTATTATAAACTTACAAAGCACAAATAAACCTTTTTAATGCTAGAGGCTCCACGCTAAGCTACTTATGATCATTTTAAGGGTAGCAGTCGTTAGCAGACGATATGAGCTACTAACGCATGCCATAAGTAATGTAGTATGTGTGTCTTACGGGTGAAACATGTGGAATCAGGTTTTAAAATTTTGGAAATATTTTAAATTATAAACATTTCCTTAATTGGAATGATCATATCCACTTATTTCAACAATTTTTAATTTAAAAACAATAGAATAAAATTACATTATATTATTACTACTATTTTAATTGCCATTATAATTACTATGGAATACACATAAATTCATTTTCCATATTTTCAATGTATTCCGTTCTCTCAATGCTTGAACCCTTTACTTAATGTGTTCTTCGTTTGTAAGCTGAGGAGATGCCCTTCCTTTCTATTTATTGTTAAAGGCATTTCAAAACACGTACGCATTATTTTAGTTCCCCTTTGTAACTTTTAGTAGTATTTACCAACATTCTGCTGAGTTAAACGCTTTATTTCCATTCCACTCCCAACTTGCAACGTAACACAAAGTTAATTTCACAATATTTGAGTAAAACTTCGTAGTGTTCAAATTTAATCACTATAGATATATTTCTGATTAATTTTAAATTCATTTATAACGTGAAATTAATAAATATAATCACACATGTCTTGTAAGCGCATTCCTTTTCTACCAATATCCTCGTCTTTCGTTTTCACTCCTGTCACACTTGTGAGAAACGCTTTCCAAATTGCGTATTTTGAACCGTTTTCCTCCATAAATACGTACGTTTGGATGGTTTCTTTTTATTAAGTATACTATCGTAGGAACCAGGCGGGAATACTATTGTAGGAGCCAGGGTAGGAAAGTGGCGAAAAAGCAGACCTAATGTCCTGAGCTTCGCCACCTATTTATTTATTTATTTATTTATTTATTTATTTATTTATTTATTTATTTATTTATTTATTTATTTATCTATTTATTTATCTATTTATTTATCTATTTATTTATTTATTGATTTATTTATTTATTTATTTATTTATTTATTTATTTATATAGTTACTGTCTGATTGATTGAGACACGTACCGCGAAATAGATCAAGATGAGCTGGTTGAGCAGCGTAGAGAAGGCGTTGAAGACGGACAGGTTGAAGCCGTAGGTGATCATGAGGGCCAGGAAGTTGCGGCTGCGGAAGAGGCGGCGCAGCGAGGCGCGGAAGTCGGTCTTGCTCTGCCCCTTTTGCAGCAGCGCTTCCACACTCGGGGGCAGCGGCGGCTTCTCCTGGAAAACTTCGCCCCCACTGCCCGTCAGCGCTCGGCGCTCTGTAGGCCAAACTCTTTTATACGTAACCAGAAGAAAGGGCGGGATCAAATAATAAAGGGAGTTAAACTAATTTTAAAGATCTAGGAGGCATCGTGTTCGAGTTATACACGATGGCAAAGAGGGATGTGGCGAAAGGAGTTTTAAGGGTTGCATGTACGCCTGATAATGCCAATGTGCAAACTTCAATACTTTTTAATTAAAATCTGTTCGACCCACCTTTGGAGGATAGTTCCCTTTCCAGCAGTAACATTCTTACGAGGTTTTGCATTCGTGGTTTCTTATAAAACGGAAAGTTCGTCATCTTTCCTTAGAGTATTATATGTGGCGTTGATTATATCTGACATTAGAAGCGTCAACAATAACAACACTATTCACGCGCATGGTGTTCTCTTCGGCCATTTGCCGGAAGTTTGCAGACACCGCAAACCACGCTTGTCATAATAAATACAAGAACACGTAGAGACACTGGCGTAGAAAAAAATGCGTGCCAACAAAACTAATTGACATGTCTGCCGACTTGTCGCGACAGCTTTTTCTAGAAGCCGCCCATGGTGTCTATATTCTGAACATTCCCTGGTAACAATGAGTCAAGATCAATTTGGTGCAAAATTCATTAGCTCCCGCACCCATAACTATACATTTTCCGTAAAACACATGTAAACAAACACATCTAGACAACACAGTATTTTACTTTTCGTTATTGTAATATTAATCAGTACTTTCAATACTTTACATTGGAACTGAATACAGCCAAGTCTTGACAGTTATATTACACATGTATAACAATAATACTTAACAATACTATTTATTACAGTATATTACATTGAACTGAAATAACAGGACTTGCTTAAATATGTATAATTTATAATTAGTTAAAAAACCTTAGAAAACTTTGCACTATTTCACAAAATTTGTTACTTGAATTTTGTGCGATTAAAGAACATTTCCTATTTCCGAAATGTAAACTCGACAGTTTTAGGCATCTGTGTCTCACTCAGACACAAACGAACGAATGGACGGATAAATGGATGAATTAGCATGTTTAAAAAAACACATTTTGGGTTAAATTCGAGTATATCCCAGAGCGAGTAATGTGTTAAAATTTTGACGCCGAATTTATGCAGCATTACACAACTTTCTCGAACTACATATACAAAATAGTGGTGCTAAAACCGCACGTACTTTCACGCAAAAGTGCTTTCACGCAAAAGAGTATGCGAAAAGTACTCAATTTTTCGAAAGATTGTACATGTCCTTATTTCAAAATCTAGCTATAAGTAAAAGATTTTATTAAAGGAAAATATGTAACTTCAAATTTTATTTGTAGAAAGAAAATTTTGGAACTTTTTCGAAGAATCAAAGTTTTTTATGAACCATTCTCTTACACATCCTTCACACTATTCAACAAAAAAATCAAAATGATGACATTTTGTTTTAAATTTGGAAAATGTCCCAGGGGCTTCATGTAAAGTACCACCCACAATTAAAATGTCTATTTCAAATTCACGGGGCTGACACATCAGCTACATCGATTGGGGAATATAAATTTTGGAGAAAACCGGCTGAACGGTTTGGCCGCTAGCGTTGTTCACAGAGACAGACGTTTTGCCGTCATTTGATTTTTCGGTATAAAGGTCCCACAAAACATGGATTCTGGCGATATCACGTGCTAGAGGATTATTTTCTACATTTAGCAACTGTTTTTATCAACTTTTTTGTTACCAGAGTCCTGTTGTATGAGTTTTGCTGCCAAAAAATCGACGGGTTTTGTTTGCGCAGTATGACTTAACTTTCTCTTTACTCCGTAACGAGGATGTAAAAAGTATAATTAATAAAAGTGTTGTTGAGAGGTTTTATTTTCAAACTTATTAATAAATAAATTGCGTACAAATAACATACAAACTTAAAGGTACATAATAAATAACATACAAATTGAACGACTATACAAATTAAGTAGTTGTTAATATTGTTAAATAGTTATTAAAATTGAATTAGGGAATTTATTATTTTATATTTTAACTTTTCCTTTACTTTATCTTCACTCTACATCTGTATTCGTTTGTCCCTAAATTTTAGAGCAGACGGAAATAATTGGAATCGGCTCAACTTCTCCCTGTACTCTTGCTTTCTCTATACTCTACTACTCTATTTCTTTCTCCCTATACTTTAGTACAGGAGAAAATAATTGGAATCGACTCAACAATGCGATCTCGAATTTTCTGTCTCTATGTTTAAGATTCTTTTAGGGTGTACCTTCTCGCACACGTGTGCATTAAGGTCTATAAACCCCAGAGATTTCTTTCTATTCCTAAATTTTAAATATTTAAATGATGTCATGCACAATTTTAAAAAATGTGAGTAGTTCTTGTTTCATATCTAGTGACACTTAGAGGGGGAAATTTTTGGTATGACGCGCATTCCCACTAGTTTAATTCTCACCTCAAATATTTTCCAAAGCAGCCCATGGCAACAAGCAATTTGAAGCAAGGGAGCAATTTAAAAGTTGCTATAATCAGTATGTGGTCTGAAGTTTCTGGAGGCCGAATATATATGCATATCTTGTCTATCAAAGAGATGCTGAGTGAGTGGCTAAAAAACCACCGTTTCGGACCTGAATATCGGGTCTTTCTTTAGAAAAGAATGGTCACGTAAAATGGAGAATCGGGAGTTAGCGCGAAGACTATAAGAGGTTTCCAGTCTTCATTAGATAGAAATTACGCCCGCGGTACTCTCTAAAAATGTGTAGCTCGAAATGACAACTGCCATTACCCCCTTCAACTATTCCTTTGCAGTGTGTATAGGAAATGTTAGGAAAAATGAAGTGCACTTATTGGGGGATTTTCTACTGCGATTTAAAACGAATCAAATTGTTTAGCCTGCTTGAGGAGCGTGCATTTTAGTGGTTCGATGCGTCTACCACCGAAATTACTTTTTTTATCAGAATGTTTTTCTATTTCACTCTCTTGGAATAAATAAAATATAAATATGTAAGAAGATACTGTCGTCAAACAGGTGGGAAGATTTTATTTCATCCGCCCCCCGTGCGAAGGGCAGCTCAGATGGGCGATGTCTCATCGACGAACAAAGCAGTCGCCCAAGCGCCGGGAACTACCGTGATGCAACAGAGCGGAAAGTGGCGTCAGAAGTCCCCTTTCGAAGCGCTGCGCGAGCCGAATTTAGAAGCGCACTTGGAGTCACGCGAAGGAAAACTAAGCGAACATTCAGGATTACCGTTTAGATTTCCTCCTACTTATCCTCTTAAGAAACGAGTGAATCATTCAACAGGGCTGCTGGAAGCATAATCTTTCACCATTATTATTATTATTATTATTATTATTATTATTATTATTATTATTATTACTCTAATTCACGTCTAATATCTACGTTAAAATAACGTTGAGTATAAAATCTACTCCGGGTTGCATGCAGCTTCCTAAGAAGCAGATCTAGGGACTCTCGATGACTGCAATATTTTGTGCAAAATGTGTGCCGTTACTAAAAAAGCAATGCCTTACACTTCCCTGTGTTTATAATGACCTCGGACTTTAGTCAAGTTCTTACACAAAGTTTGCTGAACAAATCCCAGAGCTCCGATAACTGTCGGAACGGCTTGTGCCTTTACGTCCCATATTCGGCTGATCTCGATTTCAGAACGTTTGTATTTAAGACTTTTCTCTTCCTCCTTGGTTACGTTTTGATCGTACGGCAAAGCAACATATACAAATACACCTGATTTTTCTCCAATGCCGATAATAATATTCGGTTTGATTGCTGCTATCATGCAATCAGTTTGAATTTGTTTATATTGTACACAGTCACCGGTTTTGGTGAATGTTCATAGCAAATGAAGCATGTGTTTGGAACTTGGAGGGCGTTATGTATCTGCAATTGGAAGTAACTCTATATTCTGTCGGGTCGACTCGTATATACTTTTTAAGTATTCGGTCTTCGCCAGAATGGGACAAGCTGAGATATGATCAATGGTTTCTACTTGAACCTAGCATATGCATCATTTACCATCTTGGGAAAATCTGAAAACTTTATCATAAGGTGTTCTCAACGTCTGATCTTAAGCAGCTATTTCAACTGATTCCGATTTTAGCTTCATTCTTCCCCTTTTTAACCACATAAAATATTGATCTTTATTGAGCTGCACCTTGTTCATTCTTTTTAGATATTGTTCATGGAGTGGTTTGTCTGTTCACAATTTCTTTAAAATTTTTGTGTCTCACATTCCATGTGCCATGTAGCATCAGAATTTCCATGTTTGTGTTATTCTGTGTGTCTTGCAGTCTTCTTCGCAATGCTTCTGGCTACACTTACAACGCCTCTGTTGCGCATTGTTCGGTCGCATTTAATGAGCAACCTCATTAGTGAGTCATCTTGATGACTGACTACATAGTTTTCCAACCCGACTATTGCATTGTTCCACGAGGTTTCAATTTGTCTGAGGCGTCTTCCTCCTTCCTTATGTGACCTATAAAGACTATGTACATGTGCTGGAGGTTGGGCGACATGAAGCATTGTAAGCAGTGTTCTGGTTTTTCGATCCAGGATTCGAATTTCTGGTTCAGTCCAATACACTAGCCCGAAACTATAAACGGCTCTAATGTACTTGACATATGTTCGGACCTCATTTTGGTTATTGGTTTGTATTAATTTGTATTAATTTGTATTAATTTGTGATTATTATTATTATTATTACTATTATTATTATCATCATCATTATCATTATTATAGCTCATTCAATACCTTGCGGGCAAAGGCCTCCTGAAAATTAATAAACAGCTGTAGATCATGCATCCGATCACTGACTTCTCTTGCTAGGAGTAGCTATCATTTCAGTGAACTCATGAACACAGTTTACACACAAATACACATACCGTCTTCAACCTTTCACCGATTCTTTGTCCTATCTCAGTTCTTTACCTGTTTCGGTCTGTGACAGTTACTGTTATCGTATTAAGTTTTTTTATCCTATCACAAATTACTAAACTTA